CCTAGCCCCTCTCGCTCCCTCCGCCTAACTAGATGGGGACGTCAGCGACCTCCGGGTACCTCTGCTGCCGCAGCCACTCGGTTCACTGACTGCGCAAGCCGACAGCATGGCCGGCATGGCGCAGTAGAAAATGCCCCTCTCCCCCTTCCCCTTTACCTCGTGCACCTCTCCGCTCCGCCGCCCCGCCCCGCCACGGTGTGCCGGCCGGTGTGGCCGCCCCAGTACCGCCCAAGCGCCGGCCGGCGGCACCACGTGCGTAGTAGTCCCGGACAGGACCTCGTGTCGTTGACGGCATGCCCCTCGTCGCGGAGCTCCCCCTTCTGTCGCGAAGCTCATCGCGAAGTTCGTCACCCCCTCTCGTGCTGATCCCCGTCCCGCCGTTGTGTAGTGGACCTTTATGGGGAGCACTTCCCCGCTGCCGCCGCTGTTTCAAAGCGCACACTTACCGCGTTTGAAACTGGCAGCGTATCGAAGGTGTGTGTGTGCGTGTGTTGTGAATGTGCGCGTGTGCGTTTGCCCGTGTGCGTGAATGTGTCAGAAATATGTCGTGAAGTTTGCGGTCAGGTGAAGCGCGGCGAGGCGGCCCCGCCATCCTCCCCATCCCTTCTCACGCTCAGCTGGTGCCAAAGGCCTTGACGCGTGCCGCCGACCAAGCCGGCGCTGCTGCTGCTGCTGGTCGGGAAGACGTACGTCTCGTCTTGAACAGCAAAAAAGGCGAAACTGTTATCACTAAAAAAGGGGGGCAGCGAGGTGTACGTACTGCTTATTTGTCACAAACTCGCGACCTAGCCCATGCTGCGGCTGAGGAGGCCGGTGGTAATTCCCTGCTCCCTGACAACCCCCCCTACGTCACCGTTGACAACTCTTCCAATTCAACTTGTAGTTGTCAGTTGTTTCTTGTTTAATCGCGCCCTCCACGTCATCGTTAAAGTTGTCATAGTACGTTTCTTTTGAAGCGCGTCCCCCACATTGTTACCGTAGTGGGGGTGGTAGGTATGGGGAGTGCCAAACCCCGACTAGTCGATCAAGGAATCGATTGGACTGCCGCGCTCTGACAGGTCGGGTCGGAGTTGCAAGTCCCACACAGTCCGAACTCGATTGGGCAGCACTGTAGTAGTGTACCGACGCGCCCCTCAGTCCATACAGCCCTTCATAACTTCTCACACTCCCCTTCCTTCTTAATTAAAGTTAAAGCCGACGCGGCCGACTTCTCACACTCTGATGGGACCTCATTGTGGCGGTAGAGTGTGCAAAAATAAATAACAACAAAAAGCGCGGAATTTTCTCGTGAACTTTTCCCTGAACAGAACATTCCGACTGATTAAAGTGCGTCACTCGTAAGGCCACTGATACACAAGAGTGTGACGAATATCACAAATGTAACACACATTCATGTGTGGGACATGTTTCTCACACGCTCTGTACTGTCCTGTCGTGTTAAACATTTTTCACGCACGCTTAAAAGAATTCAGAACTAGATGTCACGCCCTTTGGTAAGTTTTATTGTTGCACCGGGACGTGTGTGTGTGGCAGTGATCAGTCCGCTGCTCTCGAAAACTCGCCGGAATAAATCGAGAGCGTAGATTAGGCGATCTTGGATAAGGGTCCTCCTCGTATCGAAGCTTCTGGCCCAGCTGCTGCAGCGGCCCCCCTGCCCCACTCGAGGGCGCCGCGTCTGCCCAGGATCTCAAGTCCACACGGCGATAACCGGGGATGTCGGGCGGCGCATCGTTGTCGGTATTTTTAGCGGGGTAATCTCCCTCCAGCGTGTGACGACGGCGACGCAGGGGCTTCTCTCTCATTCTCTCCCTCTCTCCCTCTCTCCCTCCCTCCCTC